GCTCTAACTACACGCCTACGAACATCATCGAAATATCATGAAAAATAACGATTTTCTTTGCCATTGATTTAACTGTTTATATTTGTAAAGTTTAAGGCATTGGCTGCCAATAAAAAACTGTTGAAGGCAAATCCTCCGCTAATGTCGGTCACCAGTGACTGCCATGGCGTTTAACGTGTTAATTAACTAATCGACCAAAATTGAAGAAGTAATGAATAATAATTATACTACAACAGACTTTTATCGAAACAATGGACAAGAAGTTTTTGAGAATCGGAATCATCAATCTGGGATCTAAAATAATTTCGCTTCATCGTGAAATATGAATCCTAGTGCGGATATGTAGGTAATCTACTAGAAGTCCAAAATAGGAGTAACATGTTGTGGAGATTGAATGTAATGAATAATGATAAACAAACTCAACACTAACATCCGTCCACCATTGTTGGACCGCAGCACTTGTGGCACACCTCCACACGAGGTTACTTACTAGCTCGGTGTCTCCGTGTTCCTAGTCTCCAATATGTACTAGATTAGGTGTAAAAGAGCACAAACAACTGGTTTTTAAGTGGCGTAACTGGATTTACCTAGGTTGAACCGGTTGGAAAAAGAGTTACACCTAGATCTAATCGTCTCAGACCTGTAGATACCTCCTAATACTTATTTTATAGTACCAATATTATTTGTCAGGGCAAATTGCAAATTTAGTTTTACAAGTCTGAGAGAATAATGGCTATAAAGGAGTAGGATGTTTGTAACATACTAATAGATCCGATTTAACAATGAAGTACACACATTTTGCTATATGCTGGTAAATAAAGTAGTTAGTAGTTTGATTACGATAATTCTAAAAGCTAGGTTACAGTATAATCTGTGGTGGCTACTGAGTAAACAGGCAGCTGTGTGTTCTCACACGCGGCTGAGGGACGGGCCACGGAAGATTAGTTGGCCGTGTGGCCTTGACAGTACTTTAATATCGGTGTTCGATTATAGTACAGCAGTAGGTAGGTACGTAAGAGTAAATAATACTCATGCGAAAATGTTACCTGTAATAACGAAGACTGAAAATGAGAAAACTGACAAATATCTATTGTGTCCACATTTTGTGTAAAGCAAAGTGTGTACAATTATTATCTACGAGTGTTATGGACATAATCCTTATCTTCAAATCAGTCTAAGTGAATGATAACAAAAATACTAATGACTAGATGTGAGCAGTGAGCAGCTAGCTTTAAAAACGATGGACACTTTTAATTTAAGGATTCAAAATGCCCGCATTAGGTCCAAGTAAGAAATAAGCCTAATAAGGAGCACACACAAAACTCGTAGAGTATGTTGACATAAGTCATAAGATTGGCATGGCTTCTTGCATCCAGTGTTACGAACTAGGTGCGTTAATATTGCTTATTCACGGGTAAACCACTTGACCAGAAATGAGTAGATATCATCACAAGTAATGTTGACTCGCCACTTTGAGCATATCCTTATCAGCCGCGTGGAAAAATTTAATAAAGCTGAGTACGGTACGATACGAGCGCCGGCTGCACGTGTGTACCGTCTTAAATCTAATTATGTTATTAGTAAGTCTGTTGTATGCGTTGTCTAACTGTCTCACTGTGCAATATCAACACACAGGGAATGCTTTGGTTAGTGAAACTCCACTAATATCTAAATTAAACACGGAAAATCACAATATTATGAAGTTCAACGCATCTGTAATCGCAATGAAAATATTACAGCCAGGATTAATCGACCTTGATAACACCAAAATAGCAAAGATACTTAGAGAATTATAGATTGGTGGTTATCGAAATATAGTGATTACAATGTGGACCTTCTGTGCCTCGATAGTGATATGGAAGAGTATCAGACTGCGTGCCGGCCTCGCAGTAAATAAATATCGCCTTCGATATGACGAGATAATTAGGGACATCGAGCGCAACCAGCTCGTGTCGCAGCCGCCTGAGCATTCAGAAGCATTCTACTTCTGAAATATAATGCCACTAAGGCGGACCTAGCTCCAATAGCAGAAATACCAATCGTAATCTCCTAGACCCTTTTATCGATTGACCACCCGAGGTCGATCTTTCAAGTTCGAACTGGAGAATATGAGAATCTTTTAATTGTCAGTTTTATGGAAGAAGGACTGTACGTGTAGGACCACGAGCACCCGGTCCCTGGAGCCGTGCACCGAGCATGATGTTGCGCAGTCCGGCGGATGTGTAAATAAAGAACAAACATACGACTTGATTGAAACTGCTTTGGTATCACCAATACTATGACTATGAGGTACCTCCACGGATTGTTGGTGAATTCGTTACTTAGTTATATCGGAACTTCGATCAAAATTGCAGTGGATTTACTTTTAATAATGCTTGCCAATGCATACACTGCATACTGATAGCGTACCAGTCTACCATGCTAGCACTAAAAGTCTCAAACTGAGTGTTTAGATTTAACGTGGAAGCGGATGTAACTATAGAGACAGGTCAACACACAACATTTGCCGAACACTAACAATAATAAGAGGGTGCCAGAAACAGATATTAATTAGTTTAATTTGAAACAGGCAAGTACACGTAATTATCTAGGTATAATTGTTGCATGACCATAGAAATCATTATGATATAATATTTTACTTGAAATAAACAGCAAAAAAGTTTTGAACCACACGAGAAATAACGTGTCAGTCTTTAATGCCTGTAATAAAATCACAGGATTAAGCTGTGGACAATTTATAGTAACTAATAATTGTTATCTACCATATGCTTTGCTAAATAAATTTCATTTCTTTCTTTCTTACTATTAGTAATTAGTACGGTGACATTTCGAGAGAGCGCGAGAGGGCAGAACAAGTTCCTGGTGATCGGCAACTATTTCAACAAGTAGGCCCAACATCACACGACCTATGTCTGCCAGTCCTGATTCATTTATTGGACACACCCTAAATAACTTTTTATTTGTTTACGTAGACGTCGTCACAGAAGGCAAATATCAGCGAGACCGGCCAGCTCGCTAACCGGGTGATAATCATTCGTGTATTTAATGGCGTTAGACTTTGGCACATTCAATTATGATGGACGTCGTAACATATGCACGCACGTGTTACGTAACGTGCACATCCATCACGTCTTGGAAGGTTATCACCATTCAGGCAGGCCCAGGCAGTGATCGAAGACGACTTTGGCAACATCCTCGGATTGACTCCAGCACAGTATAGTCATAGTACTAAGTAACCATGTAGTACTAGAGCTAGTGACTAGTTTTTTAATTAAGAATTTACCTCGGTGAAATAATTATTTCAAATAGATAACTCCGCGAAGGTCAACCTACGTAGTACCTAAATACACGTAAAACGGAACAAAAAGTTAGAAGAAATGCTATAAAAATATAGGCTATGTTATTTTTCCAAACTCCTTTTTCCAAAAATCTATACGTAGGTACCTCCCTCTCTACTAATTTGTGATCCTTATAGGTAAGTGGATAGATAATGTGCTATTAAAAAACTGCTCTATTGCTAATTATCCTATATAAATACCTAATAGTAAACATTCCTACTACAAGGCACTACTTCACTATCAATCTGGCTTACCTACTTAACCCATTAAAGGTCAAATACAAAGTACCAATATTTTTTTTTAATTTTGTATATTTTCGTAATCAACTGAGAGTATAAGAACAGTAAATGCGAGAAAAAAAATGGAAAATAGTATTTTTCATGATAATTCAGGGGTGTACTCAATTGGGTACACTGACCATCTAAGTATGAAAATTTTTAAAACACGATATTTCTACACAAAGTGTTTTAGCACTTTTTACATTGCTAACATAGGTACTCTTGAATGACAAAGGACACATCGTAGTTGCTTTTAAATTTTAGTGGATATTGTCCAACTCCATTTTGCAGGAGGGAGCACATTTCCGCCACGTAGGGTTTGATTTTGAAGTCGATTGGCGGGCAATGTAAATAATGTGATAAAAATATCGCACTACCCTCATATAATTTATCAATATAGTTAGACAATTTTGTAATGAATTAAGATAATAGGGTTGCCCTACAAAAATATAAGAGATATTAAGTTTATGCGTAGAATTTTAGGTGTACTCATATGAGTACAGTGACTTCTAATGGGTTAACGTGTGGTAGATACCTACCTAATGCAAATGCCATAAAATAATTAACAAAACAAAATACTAAAATCTATGTGGATACCATCGTGAACATCACGATGTCATGAGTCAAGTACATGTATTAGCCGGTCTATCATTTCTCCATACCGGTTGTTAAATAGTTAACACGTAGGTACCTACCTGCCGAGCTAGCTGCGGCTGAACAGCCAGTCTAGAATAGGCAATACGTATAATACGTGAAGCGGAATATTAAAGCCTCTCTATAGGTACTCAAAACGGTGTAAATGATAGTACTGATCTACCTCTTCACAGACATCATCGTAATGTTTCAATTTACGCCGGATAACGTCGATAAAAGTTCAAGGTCGCCCGTCAAGGTCACCTCAGACATTAACAAAGAAATGGGTCTTTATCATACGGAACACCCGGCCATGCGCTAAATGGGTACTTACTGTTCGTACTCACAAACGTTGGCGGACCAGAATAATGTAAACTCGATAACTGGTTGTCAATCATAGCCCCTTCCAGGCGCTTCTTTCTGGTAAATTCAATAGAAAATAAACAATGCGAGCCGCACCTGGGTGGGTCAGTATGCTAATAAGATTCTAATAATACTACAGATTAACATACACACAAGGTAACTACTACCTCTCTACCTACATTGTATTTTGTTTTTATTCCATGACATTATCAACTGAGTGTTATCAAATACAGATTCCTTTTCGCGTGACGGATTGCAAAATCGATTTTCAATTATTCTAAAGTAACGTGTCAACCGGCAGTTAGTGACGTTGAACCGGGTGTTATTTAGATGAAACTAGGAAAACGAGAGGCGAGGGCGGCCGAGGGTCTAGTGGAGGAGTACTCACCGGGCTCGGCGCGCTCGGCCTCGTCGTCCGACTCGGTGCCGGAGTCCCGCTCCTCCACCTGCAACAAACAAGCAGCCTCAGACAGGCGTGCGTGCAGCTCTGGGCGTGGGCCGGCCGCGGGATGTTCCGCTCCTTTGTTCTGCGGCGGCCATTTTCTGGTGGCGGAGTGACCTTCAGAGTCGTAAGCCGCGCCGACACCCACCTTCTCGGAAACACTCTCCTCATTCAACGAATGCGTTCGCAGCTTGTGAGTCAGGAATTTGAGCATTATTGAGCGTCGTTCGCTCCGCTCGTCCGCGTCCGCACTCAGCGCTGCGGCCGGCTGCCCCCTGCGCACTGTGCTTGCACTAGCACCGCTGTCCGACTCACTCGCGAGATCTACGACCCCTCACGCCTATGGGAAACGTTCCAAAAACATTTTAAACCTCAATAACATATCCGCATATCACTCGCACGCGTCCGCACCCGACCGTCTCCTTCGAACGCCGGACTACTACTAGTTTAGTTAGAGTAGCCTTGCGTACGACGCAGTCAGCTGAAGTGGGCCCGACTCATTAATACCGAAAGGGCCTAAGAGCGATTGCGTTAAATACTGCGGCCCGGAATGAAACTCGCGATTTATATGATAGATACAACCATCGGACGGAATTCAAATCGTTTCATGGCTTAAAATCTCGTTTAAATATAGCGTAAAACATTTTCGAGTGGCACTCCAAATGGACTCGCCCGGCAACCCATTGATGACAAAGAACCGGAACACGCAAAGATCGGACGCGATTGGACAAAACATTACAGAATAGGATCGAAATTTAATGCAACATCTTGCGTCTCACTCTGACGATCGTGGTAATAGCTCGCCGCATGTGTTCGAGCGAGACAAACTATACACACACCGACAGTTATATAATACTGGCCTGATAATAAATCGCTGATAAAAAGTTGCGCATGTTAGCACACTATGGACATTCTGGTCACATACTGGCACCGGCAAAATGTTTACCGTGTAATGTAAATGCGTCTATTTTCAATGATTTTCTCTTGCTACTGTAACCTTTACTGTACTCTGTGACCTGTGATATTAGGCTCAATAAGCGCTCTAAGGTACACCTAACATTAACTTCTCTATAGGATACTACTAGAGAAGATACATTGAATACAATGTCTTTATTACTAAAACTACATTATACGTTTTCTTATGAATATTATTCAAGAATTTTTATTCATAGAACTTCCTCATTAAAATATCAGTACTTTCTCTACAAGAAGTTATCGCTGCCTTCACTTATAGGTAGTAAGATAGTAGTCAACAATGGAGTCTCATCCGCTATAGTCTGTCAGAGCGCAGTGTGTATCGGGCGGCATCGCGGCGCAATGAATAGCGCGACGCCATGTCTGTTACCTGTCGGTGTCGCCGTCTCGCACTACGCGAGCCTCTCGCTCACACACCGCGCGATATTTCAAATTATCGTCTTCAAGCTGCGAAGTGCGAATACCTTCCTTCCTTCAATAAGTGACATACCTAATCTAATACTTTTTTCTTTTGACATATTTTTATATTAATTACCATTTTTATTTCGGAACTAAGTAAAAAATACTTATACACGCTATAACTTAGTTATTGAAAAAAAGCCTTTTACAAACTTTAGAGTAGGTTAAATAGGTGTAATAAATTATTCGCAAAACTATTTCACATAACGCGCATAAAATCGCACTTTAATAGGTACTGTGAGAAATAAAAAAATATTTCATATAATAATATTAAGTCAAACCTTGCCGTATTACTTATGGATATGCAGATTTACCTTTGTGACATGACATTAACATTGTTTGATGGTAAAGAAATTTAAAACATATTTAACTGAAAATAAGTTGCTATATTTACTAATAAGGAAAACAATTTAACTGGTGAACGTTTCGACATTTTCAAAATATAACTAACATGGTGGTAAAATTTTATTACTGCAACTGTAATCTCTTAATCTTAACAACCTGTGAAAGGATAAAAACAAAATAACAAGTGACAAAAATAAAGAAAATGGTGCAAAAAGACAACATGTTTATTTATTGCATTTGATTAACAAATTCGTTGCATTCATTCATCCACGACAAAGAAATGCAACAGAAACCACGTGGTCACCTTATACTATGAGGGTACAGGGACATTTTACCAAATTGACTGTCTATTCATCGATAACGCTATAAAAATTTAACAAAAAACAACACATAAAAGTAATTGATCTAATATCACGTAATTTATTGGGTAACTTGACTAGAGTCGGCCAATGCCGCTTAGGAATATAGCCGCAAGCGTGGCTCGAAACTAGATAAATTACGTGAATAACGGCTGAAATTAAAAATCTGCGAATCGATATCAGTTTGATCGGCTATAAATTTTGGCTATAATACAATAATCATAATTTAATGTCTCACAAGATTTACAATCCCGTGGATTTGTTTCTTTTTAATGAGGTAACGATAATAGACAGTGAACTGGATTGTCCCCGGGAAGTAGAGAGGTACAGGGGCATACAACAATATAACGACACAGACAACAACTTGACAACAATACCTACACTTACACTATCATATATATACATTATATTCTATTTAGCAGGCATCTGACATGCACCGGACATTAGTATTTCGTACTTAACCGGCAAGATTGATATTATATCAAAATAATCATTATGTATCATCTAAACTTTGAAAGATAATCCTTATACAATCATGTCATAATATCGTAAATGTTTTTCATGAAGGAAAATGTTGACTAAAATCACCATGAGCTGTATAAATTGGGTACTTGCAAACAAGTCAAATTCAATACTTTTTACGAACTGCCAAAAACGTCAGTTTTCTATGAATTTTGTACGAGATCGGGTATCGACACATTTTTAGCATCTAACAACATATTTAGTGCTAATAAATTTTCTGGAAAAATACTAAAATTAAGTTGGTCATGAAATCAATTAATGAAAGTGTGATTATTTTGTAATACATATTTTATTGTACTGAACAGATGAAATAATTTATTTTTGATTAAGGAAAGTACCCAATTACATACATTGCTTGGGACCCGAGCACATCCTACTGAAGGACGTGATGGCCTGATATTCCTCAACTGTTTGGATCTTTACTGCGATCCCCAAGCCTCCTGCCAAGCGTGGGGCTATTTCTCTTCAAAGGAGAGGCCTTTGTTTAGTAGTGTCCGCCTCCAGACGATAGTGACGATATCACAAAACCAGTGTCAAAATAACATAGTAAGTTCAGTACCATGCATTTGTATATTGTAAAACAGTATGGTTTTATTATACTGTCAATCATTTTTGGTAAACTCTACCGAACTTGGTAGTTTTAATAACTGTGATGTCACAACATGGTGCTATAATATCTTATTGTTGTATAAAATGCATAGCACCCACAAATATAATATGAAACATGTATTTTTAAAAATAATAACATTATAAGTATTATAACCTATGTACCTATACTTAATAGCAGCCATTTTAGTATAAGTACTGTGTACTATTTAAGATATATATTTACATATTAACTATTATATAGTATAGTATAGTAAACTCCTGTCGAAAGTAGCAATGTTTTTATTTCTCCAGTAAACGTACGAGATCATTTTTGTCGTAGAAATGACAATAGAGAGAATTATGTTTCAATTACGTATGGTATTTACAGATATGACAACAGATTATTATTATTACACTGTAGTCTTGAGTTAAAGAACCCAAAATAATATTTCAACATCATACATTTGTTTGTTGATAATATCTAAGGAATAATTCACATCTGTATTCTGTTATTTAGTATTTAAGGAGTGATATATTACATTTTTTTAAATCTTGGTATTGAATTAAAAGATATTCTTAGAGTGAGTGATGATGCACTGCTGTAATAAGTAGACATTTTCTTTATCAAAGCACATACAATATGTTGAGATTCGACGCATGGCGTCTATATGTTGCCCACGTTATGTCATGGAAGCACTATATAGTTCTACATTAATATTTACAATATCACGTACAAGTTACACGTTGCTCTAATCCTAGTTTCATATTCAGTAGAATCTCGAATATTTATATAAAACGACTAGAACGTATCGTTCTATAAATGCCATCGGTTGGGAGAAGTGAAGTGGTGTAATCTTTTGATCACCACGGTCGGTTATAGATGACAAACGAAAATTGGACCATCCGCTAATGTTACCTAAGTTTTTATTTAATTTTTCATGTCTGTGAAGTAGAATCTTGCAAGAAAATGTTGAAGCAAAAATCTTCAATCGATTATTGAGTTGAAACTTTGTGTATACGTTAAGTTTGCATGACTATAAATGCTTAGCTGTTACAATTAACACAACCCAATAGTCTATTGACCTTGGAACGCAATATGGCGAATGGCGTTTTTGATATTTCAAAAACAGATTAAAAAATCGATTTTAAAATTGGAAATGAATAATGTACTTTCATTATTTCATTTATTTAAGTACAAGTAAGTTTATCACCTATAGCTGACCGTGGGCGCTTAGAATATGAAGAAATGGACGTGTAGATAGAGACCTCAGTGCGAGGCGAGTGGTGCGCTAGGGGTCGGGTTGCAGCAGGATGAGTTCGTCGTGCAGGTAGTCCGGCCGGGCCGCCGCGTGCGACACCAGCGCCGCCGTCGCCGCCTGCAGCCGGGACAGGCTGCCCCCCGCCGCCCGCCGGCCCGCCGCCCGCCGGCGCGCCGCCCAGGTCGGCCAGCAGTACCCGCGCCGCCTCGGGCAGCAAGTAGCGCCGGTACGGGACCACGCTCGGCAAGATGTCCGTCTCCAGCCCCGACACGCTGCGACACACATCACTCATCAATATCACCATCATCAGATAAGCAAAGAACCAGATAATGCATCAATGACTTTAAAAAAATCTTTTAAAAAAGCAACGATGAAGTTATTTGCTCGTTCTTCTCCATTCGAACCTAAACTTTGGAACGACAAACTTTGACCTACCTTCCCGGACAGACAAACGGACAATGCAATTTGTAACGTTTGTCTCTTCATTCCATTCTGAACGATAACTATCGTTGTATATACATTAATTTTCATAATTTCCCGTCAAATTATTCATTCATTACATTGACCAAAGTTAGTACACAAGATTCTGATACTGATAACGTAAGTATGACTTACAGCGCAAGACTGTTTTAATCACTGATCCTTTCATTCTTAATCTACAGTTACATTATTTCAAATCGTACAAACAGCCAAGGAGATGCTACACAGCCCTGCCTGCCTGCTTCAAATCTTTTTTAATGCTAAACCATTCCGGACAGACCATGTTTGGCATCTTACAGGCATTGAATTATTATACAAATATTAAAGTGCTTACATCGGTTGTCTGCACAATAATAATGGAATGAGTGGCCCAAAATTGATATTTCTCCAATCTATCATAAGCTGTCTCTTTATCATTGTAATTTCCTCGTCCAATTTTATTTTATTTTTATAGTTTTATTGTCCATCCAGAATAATATTTTCTTCATTGCATATTGCATACATAACTTTCAAAATATTTCTTTTTCTACTTCTCACACACATTTCTTTATTCTCTTTTAACATTCATAAAATGGAGGGAACATATCAAAATTTAATTTTCTTGAAGAACACTCGAACATAATGTACGCACGATTATCTTACTACTTTCGTGAGACATAGTAAATTAATTATTATATTTTCGCCTTATTTACGCAACTGTTTGATTTATTATGACTACTATTATATTTATGGCTTGGAAGTATTAGTCGGGTTCCTCGTCAAATAGTTACGTGAATAAGCGGAAAAGATAATAATGAATGTAGAGTGTACGCATAGTACAAAAACTGCAATTAACATACTAATGATCTTTGAATAATCTGTAGATCTTGTTAAGTAAAGAGAACGTGATATCCTCTCTTGTCGCCGGAATGGCGGCGAATGTATTTTGTATTGTCTCATATGTCGGCAGTAAAGTGGTTGAAAGGCTTATGTTATAACGGTCAGCGGTGTAGTGTAGCGTAGTAGTAGTAGTAGTATAGTAGCAGAGTACGTACGTGGCGAGGTAGTACTTGTGGTAGTGGTGGTGCCGGTGCGGGGTGTCGGCCAGCTGGCGCAGCGCGGCGGCCAGCAGGTCGTCGCCGACGGCCGGGCGCCGGTACATGGCGCGCCGCCCGCGGCCCGGCGCCGCTACTGCTACCAACACGCTATGTTCACACATACCTATTTCGTACTTAGAGCTGCGTACGTGATTTTTGTGGAAGTATACAAGCTTTAGCTCTACCCCTAACTTTATATGATAATTTTGTCTTCCGACGTCTAGGGGGCTCAAGGGGCACACCTAACTCCCCATTACAATTTTGCCAACAGAAGATACAGATGCGTTTCAAAGGGATATTGACTAAAATTGGTGCCTTTTTTTTCTGGCGGCAATCGACGATTTATGAAAAATATTATCTAGAATGATATTACAAACGATTTTATGTATGACCTCATATATCAAAATCTCAGTTCGGACTGAGTTATAAGCGTTAAAAATTACAGTCGAGCATTTTAGATTGTTATTTTAATTCAAATTATTCATATTTTTATCACAATTCCTGACTTTACAATACGTGCCACTGTAGGCCTAGCACAGGTACACCATATTACCAAACCCAATATGGATGATATGCCAGACACTAATTTTGTCAGTTATTTTCTCTCAGTCGATAACTTGTGGGATGCTTCAAGGAATTGTGTCATGATCGTACGTAAGCGTCAGCTGCGGTACCAATAGTGGGTTGAGTAGTCGCAGCCGGTCAAACATCTAAAAAAGTACTATCTTTTAAGCAGTTTACTCTTAATTGGAAACTAATATACTTAATAGTTAGCATAATCTTTTGAAGAAAGGGAATCATCCGCTGGTTGTCAAGTGATGGACTATACGTGAGAGTACAACTTTTTTTTTATATGTCAGTGGAAGTATAATCCATCACTTCTGACGATATATTTCTATAAAATGTTATGCTAACTGTAGATTAACTGTACTTATAATAATTACTAGTCGGGAGAAATCGACAAAAAAATGTTTTTTACGTGTTTTGACGACTACCGCTACTCAATTCGCTACTGGAGCCGCAGTTGACTAACATAGCATTTCATTATAGGGTTCAGTGAAGTACTTTGCGGGTTTTCGACTGAAAGGAAATTGGTCATGAAAATCTGTCAAAGGCCATAAACCAACCACGCTCCATACAAATTTGGTCATTGTCATTTAAAACGTAAACTGTTATCTTGAATACAGTTTTTGGTGAATAAGTAAAGAAATGGTAGGAAATCCCGACATACACGTGAGTCCCCGATGGTCCCCCTGCAGCCTCAGGTCGTAGAGCGCGTGCAGCGCGGGCCCCTGCAGCAGCAGCACGCGCGCCGGGCCGGCCAGCACGCCGCGCAGCCACGCGCCCGGCGCCGCGCCCAGCGCCGCCACCACCTCCGCGCTGAACAGGTCGTAGATCTACCACCAACCACGCATCACATCACTGCACTTGTTTCAATTAAACCATGCACACACGGACTGTTCAAAAGTCAACAAATATAAAAATAGTCCAAAGTTAATATCTGTCTGCAAAGCTTATCTCATCATCATCATCATCATCATCTCTGCACCATTCTAATATAAAAATATTAATTTTAAATTCCACCCTATTAAACATTTGCTGTAAAATATATTACAGCATCATTTTTAGATCTTAGACACGTCAAACGAGGCCTCTTATTTTAACCGACTTCCAAAAAAGGAGGAGGTTATCAATTCGGCTATGTGTTTTCTTTTTTTTTTGTTTGTATGTTACGCGATTACTCCGACGTTTGTGGACGGATTTTAATGATTATTTTTTGTTGGAAAGGTCATACTTCCGGGGTGGTCCCATTTTTAACAGGTCAGGATCTGATGATGGGATCCCATGGAAACCGAGGGGAACTTTTTTCAAAATCGTATAGGTGGCGAGAGCGGTTGTTAATTTTTTGATATAGTATTTAAGGTATGGAGTTGATCTGATGATGGAGTCAAGAGACAGCCGAGGGAACTCCTCGAGGATTTATTGACTCCGTGTTTGGCCTTAAAATATTTGTATTGAGAAGATCTTCACATCTAGATGGGATGTAAGTAATTGTCATTAGGGGCCTGATGATGAAGTAGAATGATAACTAAGGGAACTCCTCAACGGTTAACAGTAGATACCTGGTGATTGGGCTTGATTAATTTGTAGTAATGAGAACTTTACACCTAAATGGGGTATGATTGTCATTAGGGGCCTGATGATGAAGTAGTATGACAGCTAAGGCAACTCCTCAACGGCTGACAGTAGATACTTAGTATTTGGTCTTTATTAATTTGTTTTGATGAGAACTTTACCCCTGTATGGGGTGTGATTGTCATTAGGAGCCTGATGGTGAAGTAGTACTATAGCTAAGGGAACTCTTAAACGATTAATAGCTACTATTAACCGTTTACTTGGTGTATGACCTTGAATAATTTGTTACGATGAGAACGTTGCACCCATGTGGGATAAACGTAGTATACTGGATCTATAATATAGCCTCAAAAAGTATAAAAATAAAAAAAACAAAAACTGTGTTTAAAAAAACCGACTCCGAAAAGCAAAACCTAAAAACAAGCAAAGAGTAAAACCTAAAAAGAAAGAAATAACCATTATTAGTCATACGTACTTATAGGTACCCACCCTCTGATAGGTTAGAAGTCGGTGCCACAAGCCCATAACAAAATATAACTTAGGTTAATGGTCTTGCGGTTATAATCTGTCTCTATCCGCGGGTAAAAGTTAGTAATAAATATATCGAATTGAAAACATCCAGAAGCGGTTTGTACATTTTTTTTATCGTCTGAAAATTCATTATAACATTGCAAATTATATAAATCTATGCAAGAGATTTCGCTTGCAAGCCCTTGTAAACAGGCGTAAATTGGTAGACTTTCATTATGTTAAAAATACTATCCAATGACATTGACTGTCACTGCAAAAACTTCATTTTAATGTTCCCCGTAAATAATTTAGATTCAATGTACCGATATCGATACCTTCTTCCTCAACCAACTATAGGAGTACTTCATGTATCGTGCGAGCGACCAATGATTTCAATAAACTTTATAAAGAAAATTCTTATGACCCAATTAACACAAAGCTCACAGAGGCGCGCAGGCAGCTGAATTTATTTTCCAATTCATAGTGTCTAAGGGTATACGGTCCTTAATGTTTTGAGTAATTTTTCATGTATCATTCTAGATTGCCTGTAGTTTAATTATTATTATAAGTAAGTTTTAGTATTATGATGGCTTGTTTCTATTCTCTGTTACTAATCATGGAAACCATTATATGGCTTTTTGTTGCATGCCACATTAATAAATCAAATCGTATAGCTGTTGGTTTCCCAAATATACATATAAATAAATAATTTTACTTCGGACTAGTATCGAATACTTATTAACGTGACTATTCACACTTTGTACTAAATCATTTAGTCGTGTCAGTGAACTAATCTCCTTCAATTGATATTTTAGGACCAAGTAAAAAAGGATTGCTTAGCAACTTTGTGGCACATTGCTTTCAAAATAAGTATTTGCTTAGGTACCTACGAATATATCTGCACCAAGCAGGGTCATTGGGATAAACGCCAGGACAAACCTAACATTTTTTACAAATTTAACAAAAGGAAAATATCAATTTGTTTAATTAAACATTTTGATATGAACTACCTAGTTTTTTAAATAGAGTATATAGGGAGTTCAATGAATCATGAGTAGGTAAATAAGTATGGTAAACTAAAATAATAATGTACTATATCAGCTTATCGGCCCTATTACCTCCCGTAGCTGGTACTGTACCATAACGGCACATAATTACATATACGGGTAATAGTCGACTATGTAGATTGTAGACTGATATTGATTGGACCAAGTTATACAGATACCTTTGCTGGTTTGACTGCTATTTTAAAACTGCTTCGGCAGGAGAATTAGATTTATCGAGTGTGAAATGGCTAGAAATACGTCGTTAAGATGTATCTAATTATCAGTTCCCAATACCTACTGCGTTCAAAAAAACATTATACATTTAGAATACAAAAAAATATTTATTGATTCCGATTATGGCTTTATTTATTTTAGTGAATGACAAAAATGGCTGCAGTAGGTAAACAGTTGGTTTTGTAAAAACTTTTTTGCTTTTAAATGGCATCTTTATGCATAATGAAATAGAAGTTAAAATCGAATATACCGTAAAAAAGGTTTCTTTGAATGTCTTATAAACTCGAATAGAGTGTAGACCGGTTGACGTATAGTTAGCGCTAGCTATACTTGGCAGGCCTGCCATTTAGATGGACTGGTGACATCATCAGAGTCGCCGGTAGCCGTTGTATGTAAGGTGGTGATATTTACCGACTTCCCAAATCAGGAGGAGGTTCTCAATTCGTCTGTATGTTTTGTTTTTATTCAATATAGCTACTGAGAATGAATATGCTATTTATTCAATATAGCATATTCATTCTCAGTAGTTTATGAGAGTGAATATATTGTTTACCTTGGCTCCAGTTGTTTCGGTGATGAGGTCCTTGAGTGCGTCCACGACTTCTTGTCCGAGGTCTCCCTCGCGCGCGTACAGTAGCAGTATGTCGCGAGACTCGGGCATCGCGGGCGCCGGCGCCGGCGTCTCCGGCTCACTGAAGCTACGCAACAAACATACTTTACTACAATACATTATAAACACGATTTATATTAGGTAATAATAATTAGTTACATTCCTGACTTCTGTAAGAACAGCCGACATCATAATGCAAACCGCAGTAATTTCGACTTCGTTGTAGAAAGTTATAGATCAAAAATATTTCCAGTGTTTATCACGTGACATTAACACATGTAAATATAAGTCATCAAACATGCATAGAACACAGGCGGCGCTCTGAGTAGGTAGTGCATGCCGCGCGAGTGCATCGCTCGATAACGACGCAAATGAGACCGATACCAACAGACAACAACACGCCTTGTAATACAGCTTTCCATTAGTCCCCTATTACTCACCAGATACATAAACAAACAAATATGTAGATAATCTAGTATGTATGTACATATTTCGTCATGAATGTCCTTTCGTTATGAGTCCGCTAACCGATAACATTGTACTTATAGCCTTAGCATTACTAGCTACTGTTGCGCGGTTTCATTCGCTGCTCTATTCCTAATAGTTCACACACACACATAACATTACGCCTTTTATCCCCGAAGGGGTAGGCAGAGGTGCACATTATGCCAATGTACAATGTAACACCCACTTTTCACTATTTATGTTATGAGTCCCGCCCGTGTAATAGGGGGTGAGCCTATTGCCATATACCGGGCACAATTCTAGGCACCGCGCTACGATTGAGATTTAAAAAAAAAGCCAGTAATACTTTGCCCGGCCCGGGAATCGAACCCGAGACAAGGGGCTCGGGCCCGGCAGTCGCACTTGCCTTCCTCGATAAACGGGTTATCCAACACAAAGAGGATTATTAGAAACGGACCCTCGTACGTTTCCAAAGATACGCAGGTTCAAACAAACAAACATTTCAGCTTTAAGTCTCTATATATAAATAACAATGAATTTCCGTTCGTTCGTCTCGCTAAAACTCGAGAACGGCTGAACCGATTTGGGTAATATTGGTCTAGGAATGTTCAGGGAAGGTTTAAAAGGTGAGAAAATCTATTTTAGGCGGTACCAAGTTAGGCGGGTCAGCTAGAATATTAAATAAATTAAAGTCATACAGATATACATATGAATATAGATTCAGCATATGGCTATACATATGTATCTAAGGCTACGACCGGTGCCTATGTTCCATTGCATGTTGACACTAACTGTTTGCACAGCCTTGATGACCAATTAACATCTCAACGTTGAATGACTATTGTACAAAAATATGTAGTGTAAACATCGATTTAAAACAATACATTTGTATTGTGTACGGTCAGGTAGGAAGAAAATGTGGTTTTTATGGGATAAGCCGGTACACGAGCATACAAATCACCTGGTGGTAAGCGATCGGCGTCGCCCATGGACACCCGGAACACCAGAGGCGTTACAAGTGCGTTACCGGCCTTTTGGGGATTAGGAATTTGAGGATTGTTGGGGATTCGGGGATTGGGGATCTTGGGGTGTGAAACACAAACGCAAGCGTTGTTTTACGTCGGTATTCTGTAAGGCCGTGGTATCACTCCGGTCGAGCCGGTGTGTTTGCAAAAAGATACGCTAAGTCTAAGTAACCAGGCATCATTTTTATAAACAAAATTTCATGATCAAAAATATTACTAGTGGTATGGAAATTTAATATTCATAGAGTTTAGTTTTCCTCCGTTTACAACTAGTTTAGCGCAAAGCAAGTTTCCAAGTGCGGTACATGTTGACTGGCAAGCTGAGACCTAACCAAATTAGCATAGTGCATTAATTTTCCATGAACTTTGAAGTAGGTAAGTCTGAATAAACAGTAGAAATATAAAATCTTGTTACAACATCGACGACAATCGCCATTTCGTTATTTCGGTATAAACTATAAATACAATATAAATTAAAGAACACTATTTCAACTATTTGATATGCGAAACAGTTTGTTTTGTCCTTTTATCACAATAAAACTATGTGCAGTTAAACATTTGCAAAAACCACCTTGAACCGTAACTAACAGATACAGTCCAGTTAAAGCAGACATTGAAGTAATCACCATTACAAACAAAATATGAAAAGTCTCCTTTGATACCATGTGTGCAATAAAGTTTGGCGACAATTCTGTTTTTGTTTCTCAATAATGGTAAGTTTTTCCATAAAGCACATTCTTCATAGTAAAAGGAAAATTGTAGAAATGATCAGGTAAAATTTTTGAGATACTCTAAAGATGTTTTTATTGGCACGTGTATTTGCGCCCGCGTATTTCACGAATGGTATTAAAATAATAATAAAATTGTGCGCCCAATCTTCCTCGTGTATATTCCGCGAGCAGGAACTAGCTCGGTTTCCTATTAATTTAATTAATACGCAATTAAGCAGGTTGCTATTTTCCTAGTAAAATCTTAAGCTCGTTCTAAAATTATATACAAAACTAAGTTCTGCCAACGGTTTCGGCTGTGCCTATGTATTATACCAAACTGCCTCTAAAATCCATCCCTGTTCCAAATTTTATTCCGACCCCTTCAACCGTATTGACGTGATTGAGAGCAAACATACACACAGATTTACAACCTTTCGCATTTATAATATTAGTAAGATAGTAAGAAGTAAGATTATACAGAACATTGACATTACACGACTTTTATTGTAATTTTATACCAAAACAAGGAATCCTTCAACTACAGCGCGACCGTCGCGAATTTCCAAGTTATTCGGCCGAAGACGGTGATGACAATATTTATATGCGAGGAGCGGAGTACATTTTATATTGCAGTTATACATATCCGTATCGAATAGTTACTCATCGCTACAACTACAACGACTTCCGCAACCATAAAAAGATTATTATTATCATCAGTTAATAAATTATAAGTAGGTACTATTCCTTAGTTCCTCTACGCCCTTATATTAACAGTCTTTTGTGAGTGGGGCGCCATTACTGTTTAACTGTATAATATAATATTAATCTAGCCACTATGACAGCTGTTACATTATTGATTGGTAATTTCGATTCTCCGAGCGACATACACTCGTTTATGTATCAGGTTTCGCTTCAACTTGCCGTCACTTGCAACGTGGAATATATTTCTAGTAAACTTTTAAATAATGTAAAACCATAAAAGTAGCTTAACATAATATTACCTTCCGTTTAGTTTATTCGGCTATCCTTATCCTGGGTCAGCTTTTGGACAAAAACACAATCATTAACTATAAAAAAGAACATTACATTTCAAGTTAAACAAGAGGAAATTATTATCTATTTTCCTCAATGAAACTGTAGCACGTAACCTTTGTGGAGATAAGGGATATATGAAACTTGTTTGTTAATGAATACACATGTGACTTCGATTTAAATAATGTAATCTGTAAACGGTTCGTCCATTCGAATAAATCAGCGGCTCGTGATGTTGATTATACAGGTAGACAGACCTGTATAATATACCTACTTAAGTAAATATGTTACGACCTCATTCACTCCGTCAGATTTCATCATCATCAGCTCATTTAAGCAGCACTTAAAATTAATTTAAAAATAATAATACTTTAGCTGAATGGATGGTTCTCTAAAATATTCTAACATATATTTAATTCAGGTATACGGCCATCTAAACATGTCAATGTTCCCCTTGAAAAGAGGCGTATTGATTGTAAATTGTCTTATTTCATTTATCAAATCTCTCGTTTGACACTGTTGCGGTGTTTGAAACAAAACAAATCTATAATAATTGCAAGAAGCAGTTACTTTGTCCTTAAAATATTTTTTGAGTGAACATATTGTATGACCGACAGTGCTTCATTAAAATTTGCTACGAACGTCGCGTATGCTGAATTTTATAGGTTGTATATTGGTGCAACTCGCATAAATATTACACAAGTATTTAAATTTCCGCTGAAATGTCCAATGGCTTATCACAAGTGCAAACTATGTTTAAGTCGCACGTAGTTGACGTAGTACGTCCAGACTGAGGCCACATGCAGGCTAGATAAGTGCTAGCAATCTATCAACAGAGTATCTACGTCATGTATTAATTGTTTTGGCGAATATTGAATTTGATAAACATTCACATATGGCCGAGATTATGGAATAATTCGAACAAGCGACTAAGCATTCATTGGTCCATACGGCTGTAGGTGCGAAGGTACTCGATGTAGTAATAAAAATGGAGGATTGTGTACAATATGGTACTGACCGGTTCCGGAACATGATGTCGAGCATGCGCTTGTGGTAGGAGCGGCGGCGCAGCGCGCGGTGCAGCGCCAGCGCGGCCGCCAGCGCCGCCGCCGCCAGCAGCGCGCCGCCCGCCCATTATTGCAGCGCGCCGCCCGCCCACCAGCCCGCGCCCCCGCGCGCGCGCAGCGACGGCGCCGCCGCCGCCTGGTGGCCTGCACGGACCGCACGGATCAATCTATGTCCTCAATACGTTCCATGACAGCTGACGTTGATTTTAAAATAAAATGATAATTTTCTACCAAGGTACAATATATCCTGAATTTATGTCAGTATCAGTCTCAAGTGCCTAATTTTGAAATTCCTAATTTACCTATATGTATTAAATGCGGCCGGATTGGCGGTTTAGTAATACCATGCAAAAGCCAGCATAAAGGTCATGGACACTGCCATACAAGATACAGATCTTTATCTTTAACTATTTAAACATTGTTGACTATATTCTGCTTTTAGTATTTGTCTTAGTGGCAACACAAATACATCATCTGTAATTTTAGCTATTTATCACAGTTCATACAACACAATCTGGCAATAGACAGACAGATAGGTTTTAGAAACATGAAACACTTTTTAACTGTTTTTTTACAAAATAAATGGGTTTGGAACCCCAAAACAGTCTTATAGGTAGTTTTTTCTAACATTTTCCTATATTACACAACCATTGTGACATACATATAATATTTATCAAATTAAATAAGTCCAAACAATGTCTGATCATTTGATATTATTTATTATAGATCTAGAATGAATAATAAACAATGTTTTTATCTGTGATCTGTTGTAAGCAGAGTCGTAATATTTGTAACCTACGACATTACGTTAACCTTCTTATCACAATTGTTGCTCTTTGGATATTTGCGGTTATAGAGCTATAATATAAATAAACTTTAAAGAAATAGCTATGTTTGTTTTAATTTTTTCAAAGAATCTTTTAAAAAACTATTGGGTAGGTACCAGTGTTGCACATAATAAGAATATGATGTGAAAATTTTCTAAAATAATGAAAACTTACAGAAACTATACTTGACAAATCTCATGTCAGTGAATATGCCGGATGTCCACAGGCCGCCATGCTCCAGTATGGCCTGGTAGCATCCATACTCTGGTGATAGCTCACAGAACAGCTCCTCCACATTTTCCATCACACTGCAGTTTTGTGTAACAACCTCAGCCTGGCTTAAGTACTCCTGCTACACAAAAATGGTAATTTCGAAGTTTAGAACTAACACCACAGTTCCACATGAGTCTGCTGAGCCAACAGAGTAAGTATGTTCAGCAGTGTACAATTGTGTAAAGGATAAGCATGATGGGTAAAATAAAAATGATGTATAGTTTAGTACCAGCAAGTCAACTCTTTTCTGTTAAATATCTATTGTTTAGATATAAAGCAAAAAATTTAATGACAAAAATTAACACATTGGGAGGTTGATGTGCCGACCACTGTACAAGAATACATTATGTTACCTCCTGTTTGCTGTCAGTTCTGTGCAGCGTCACATTGTAGTCTACCAGAGGTATTCCCAGGTACCAGTGCAGTGACACCCAATCACTGTAAATAGTATATTTAAACAGTTCTAAAGTATGTATGCTATGTAGCTCCCATATCACTAGGTAACAAGTGCAATCCAAAATAAAGTGATTTTCAACATTACTTACTCGTGGTTGACAAAGTTAATGTTAGGCTTGTTTTTGTCATAGTCCTCCTTGGAGATGGAGTTATTAATAAGGTGGTATGAGTCGAATGGAGCACCACTTCTTTTACCCTCAGTGAATGTACTCTTGATCTCATAACAGCCACTAAATATCATATCAAAGTCCATAGCGTAACACACCTGCAGAGGAAAACCTTCAATGAATTATAATTGAAGGAAAGTAAACTACCTATATACAATACTATTTTGCTGATGCTAGCAAACTTTTCTTTTTTTGAAGAGATACATAATTATAGTCCTTACATGTTACAAATCATTTCAGTACATTACAACACAATATTACACATAAAAAAACTTATAACAAATTTTGGTCAGTGTCTGTAGGAAATGTAAAATGTGTTTCCCTGTTAATCTTTTACTACATTTGAGACATAATAAATAGTAAACTTACCCGGGTACAGTTAGTCAAATTAGTTATGTCTACAGTGTTAGAAGAGTGCTGATGACCAGGCCTTGTGTACCATCTGTGCTTTCTGGTGCGATTGCACACATTTTTATTATCATTATAAGTTAGATTTATTGTCAAGTTTGTCATATTAGAATTATGTTGGGCGCACAGTTCCGCAGTGTAACGACCCCTGACTCCGTCCGATGAAGGTGAGAATGTCGTGACAGCAGTTTCATTGCTACTCACTTCACACCGATACTTCACTGTAACAGATTCGGCACTAATTCGGCACAACAAAAACACTAACAACACTGGGGTAAACATCGCGCCTCGAGAACTCTTGCAAAATTATGTAAATAACTTCATGACGAGGATAAAAATACATTTACTAAACGTTTTTTTACGAATCTCACAAACAACTAGCACTGTTTAGGTTTGGTGTCTGCTCTGTCCGTATCACAATACGTTATTTTTAAAGGACAATACAACAAATGGTTAGTTTTATGAAACTTTAACACAACAAACAACACTCGTCTATGAATGTGTTGAGTGTGTTGTCGCCATTTTCATTTCCCATTTTTGAAGTTTCTCACGTCACATCTTCTTATCAAAATGTCAATGTGTCAACTGTCAATGTCATGCACATGTTGTGCATAGATTGAAGAGGGGCAATACATTTTAACCATAGACAATAATAATAATCATGCATGAGTCTACATGACTTAAATGACGAACATTGACTAACTGAAATGACGAGCATGCAGTGCCGTAACTAGCCTTCTAGGCGCCCGGTGCGAGCTTTCAAAACTGCGCCCTTGAAAAATGTGCATGAATATATAATTGTTTTTTGTTTACCGAGATATAGGGGTAGGTACTTAGTAGATGTTTTAAGACAATTCGTTGTTGCCATTCCGCGGTCCGCCATGAGATCGCGCCGGAGCTCTTCCCACCACGTACTTATCTGGCGCGGTGGCGGAGTTTCACCTCGGCGACGTGCCTCCGCGCGCATGCGATACACGCGCGCGAGCACCTTCGCCTCCAGATCCCGCGGCGGTAATCCGGCAAGGAGGTTCGCCGACTTCTCGGAGATCATGTGTTATCCGCAAATCATTCGAATCGCCATGACCCTCTGTGACATGAGCAGCGCCCGAGCGGGCCGCCGCATCAGGTTCGGCGCCCACACAGGGGCGCCGTAGAAGGCCATGAACCGCACTACCCCAGCGTATAACCTCCGGCAGGAGGCGTTTGGGCCCCCGATGTTGGGGAGGATGTGCTTAAACGCCGCCCCCGTCCTCTCCAACTTTGGAGCCAAACGTCGGAAGTGCTCAACGAAGTTGTTTTGGAGGTAGGTAGGCACCCAATGATATCGGAGTACCTCCAAGATGCAGCTCCAGGGCAGGGAGTTGAAGGCGTTGGCGATATCCAGAGACACCGCCACAACGACCTTACTCCTGGACACTGCAGTCCCTGTCGTCCGGTCCCTAACGCGCATGATGGCGTACACCGTGGAGCGCCCTCTGCGGAAGCCGAACTGGCCGTCCGACAGGTCCGGCCCAATGTCCGTCAAGTGCGCGACGAGGCGGTTCGAAATTATTCTTTCGAAGACTTTATTATTCTTTCCCCGAAATTAATCTTTCCCCACCTCGTCAAGCAGAACTATACCGATACGCGGACGGAGAGTCCGCAGGGCGCCCCGTCTTCCGCACGAGGACCAGTTTACCCGCTTTCCAGAGCAGCGGGAACTGGCCTCTCTCCAAGCATGCACTGTAGAGACCGATTAATCGAGGCCCGAGAGCCTCTGAGGCCAGGAGCGATGCTATGCCATGCAAGCCGTCGGGTCCTGGAACGGTGTTCTTGGCTGCGCCTTCTTGCGGCGCTTACGCTCCTTGCCGACTCTCCACCGCCATCCTCCGCTCGCGGTGCGGGTTCCACCGCCGCTGCTGCAACTCCAGCTTGCCGGGATGGAGTGCCTCTCCTTTTTTTGTTTCGCCCCGCGGGCGCAGGCGCCGCGGGCACAGACGCCGCCGGCGCAACCGGGGTCCACGCCGGCGGGGGCGTCGACGCCCAAAAATATAGTATAGGTACTTTTGTTTGAGTATGTAATTAAGGTGGATATACATTTGTCTGATGTGTAGTGAGTCGATTGAAATGTGTTGTTGATTTAAGATCGTTTAAAAATGCGATACAGATTTAGATAGTACAGTCTGGTCATTTCTGCGCCCCTCCAGCGCCCTGTGCCTGGGCACCGCTGGCAACGCCCTATTTACGGCGCTGCGAGCATGACGAACTATTTTCCTTTGAACCAAAAATAGGAATAAAGTTTTTTTACTAAATAATTAATAAACTGTAAACACACTCTAAGGGTTTCATAGGGGTCCATAGATGTAATAATAACGTGAAAGTAATAAGTTACCTTTATCATAATATCAGTGGTTTACTCACATCGAGAAGCAACACGATGCGATGCTGCACGGTGTCACCCTCCTCTATACTTATTATACCCTTTGGTGTCACCCTTGGCTTTCACACTATTCTAAGATTTTGTTAGATGCAGAAAATCTAGCACTGCCATAGAAAAGTAAAAACTAAGCAGTGCATATACAGGTATAGGTATACATATAGCAAACTAAGAGCTTCGGCAATAGTATGGAGTCTTTGATTCCAAGATGTTGGTTTGCAACCAAGATTGAAACGTAATAAAATAAAAGTCGTTGATAAGTTACTTATATTATACTTATTTTATTCAATCAATCATTTTGGAATAACAATTAAATAAAGAATAACTTAAGAACACATCTACATAAGAAATTAAAAATGATTTAAATCAAATTCCAATTTGTTGAGCTAGAACAGCATACATTCCTAAAGCTGTCAAACCTACTGCACTAGCGTGGATGGCTCTCAGGGCTAATAAGGCCCAAGCACTGAGGGAGAGGATGCTGCCAACAGCTTCCTCGATGAGTCCTCTGTATGGAGACAGTGCGAGTAGAGTGATGACGATGGGGGAATGTTTGCGTGGCAGGTCACTGCGCGTCCACAGCCACACTAGCGCCGCTGTGGCCGCCGTGTGCAGCAGCGCCACGTTGGACTCCGCGCACGAGCGCACGTAGCGCCAGTCGAACTCCGAGCCGCGCGCACCCACCCACAGCAGTACACTGCGCGTCACCACCACCTGACACGTCGTAATTACATACTTAGAACAATATTCAACAACACTTTACTTGTACAGCAATGATCTACAGCAAATAGATTGCCAATTTTATTAGAAAACATTGTTTTATAAGAAAAGATGGGGGTTTATTAAAATATTTTTTTACTATTAATTTCATTTTGATCTGTATTTCACAAGCAGTTGGTCAGTTTTATAATTAGAGTAGTCAACTATGCAGAAATTGTTATAATACACAATTGTACTCTCTATTCCTTTAATCTTCAAATTTGATGGAAGTCTGACGAAGTTGAAAAGAGGTCCATATAGGATCCACAGCTTTACAATGATGCTAATTTGGAAAGGTGAAACCAGTCATTTTCTTAATAAAATCACATTTGTTATTTTTATGCTTTAACAGTTGTGTTGTTTGTTAGGACCATTTAATTTGTATTAGACACTGATAATTTTATCTGTTCCTGAATTTTCATAGCAGTTTGAAAGTACAAGTTACATGTAAGAATGAGAGAGGTGATTGCTTCTAACATAATGCCTACATACTTACAGTAAGATATTGTTACTGATTATGACATCAGCTTACCTCTGCACTTGCCCACCCAATGGCTGATGTGAGTATTTTAGCATGACCTTTGCCTGGCACGGAGTTAAGAGCAAAATATATTCCCAGCAAGTCTGCAAAGTCCACTGTTGCCTTCAGAATTTCCTGAAATCAAGCAACAAAATTGTATTGAGCAGTGTAAAACAGACTTTTTTTGAGAGAGTAATGAATGGAGTTTCTTGCTCATTCTTCTCCACTCAAATCAATATTTTGGAACGAGCGACTAGCTTCACTGACGGACAGACTGACAGACTATTATTTATTTCATTTTAGTTGACGTTTCAAAATTACCACATTATGGTTTAATTGAAATAAATGCTTTTGAGTTTATTAAGCATGATTTGTATTGATCCACAAATTGTTGTTTCCGGTCTGGGTGTCATGTCATTGTGTATGCGAACTTGTATGTTTGTAAACACACTCACGACACAGGAGAAAATTCTAAAGTGAGGCAACAAAATAAAAAACAATTATCAAGCTAAATATTTTGTGTCACCTGGAATTAACAATATGCTCATTGAACTAGGTACATCAATGGAATAGTGTTTATTCTAATGTCAATTGGAATAATGTGTCATATTCTAATACCTAATTAGATTAACATTTCAGAATAGGTTTCAGTAATAAAACTACAGGAATTCAATGATTATAATTACCAAGAACACATTATATTCTCCTGTTATGTGGCTGCTGTCAGTATCAGGAAAGAATGTAGCTAGCAACAGCATCTTACAGAGCTGAGTAAAGATGTAAAGACCTCCAGCATGTACACATTTAGAGAATGTTGCATATTCAGATCTAGAACACAAGATGTTTTATTGCTTAATATTACACTTATAAATAGGTTAACACACTATAAACCTCTAAAACACGTCTGAGGATTAAAAAATAACCTAGAAGATGAAATAATTATAGGACTTACATTCCCGAGAATTTGTATGCCATATGATATGGGGCATAAACCAATGCTAAACAATTTCCAAAATGATACAAAGTCATTTTAAAGCCTTGTATTTAATAATAGTATTATTAAAACCAGCGGCCAAACATCCAATTAATTAATTATGAATTGATATCTAGATAGCGGATGACGTTCTGAACTTTTGACAACAAATGTCAGGCAGGTGCTTGACCTCATCGACTGATAATTTACATTTTACATAGGAAATAATAGGAATTCTTTTCATTTCTTTCTTTCACGTTACATTGACGTTGTTTATCTTTGTTTTACTAGTAATATTATGCTTAAAATTCTAGTTTCACTCATCCTACAACCGAAACTCAATCTAGCAATGTTAAACGTCAAAATCATTTTTGTCGATCACTAATGCTGTCAAACTTCTTAAAAAAAACCGTAATGTGTGAAGTGAAACGGAACGGGGGTCGGAAAGAAAAAGTAATAAATTCGTTATTTTAAATGATATCATTAAAAACATATTAAATTAATATCCAATTATGACTTGATATGTCAATATCCATAAATAATTCACATACTATTCACATTTTAATAGTTTTACAAAATCAGATAATGCGTACAACGAATTAAACGTCAGTTATATAGCGCGCCAAATTCCCAAAGTGATAAGGGTTTTAGTTGTGATTTTATACTTAACTAATTTTTATTATAAAGTTATAAATTATAGATGCTTCTTTAAGACATCGTAAGTCTATTAGTTACTTTCTCCATTTATCTAAGATTTAATAAATGCTGACATAATTAAATGATACCATTTTGTTTAAACATCACCTAATTGAAATTTTAAATAAGTATTCAAAAATAATTAATTTATAGAATAGATTCGGTTCCAATGATCTTCAATCCTTTTTTTCTGCTATATTTAGATGAAAAGGCGTAAACAAAAATGACTTGTTAAAACTAATAGGCGACACTACACAAGTGTAGAAAGGGATGCAAAACTAGGGGAGCTCTTAAAAAAGGGTTGTTTTTTAACCCTTTCATTTTTTAGCACACGCGCAAAGGGTAAGGGGTTGGTTGGCCAATAGCAGGGCAGAGTTTAAAAGATTTTGAATGTTATTCGTCCGGAGAGGCTTCGGTTGTGTTCGGTGGGTGCTCCGGGCACCGTCTCTCACCAGTTATTGTTAGGCAGAGCTTCATGTTGCTCATTTAAATAACGGCTTGCATGGTAATATCATCTGTTCAAGTGTTCATTTTGTGTTATAAGTTGGTGAAAAGGCAATATTGAATGTGGTTTCAATTTAAAATATTTTTTTTCCATTTTTAGTGGATTGGTGCAATCACTATACATCACATTTTCGTAATGTACCTATAATAATATTACAGGTAAGTGATACTCATCAATATTTATTTATTTATGGATTGGAAAACCAACAGCTACACATAGCAAACAAACAGATAATATTATTATAATAACACCAGAAAGCCAATTACAGGTTTTCACGGATAGATTTCACATTATTCAATTAAAAAAATTCTCACAGTCCAAAGAAATTACATTTAGGGAAAGAATATAGAATATAGATTTAAAAAATCCTAGAAATTTATTAGACAATAAAACCCAGTTTATCATTAAACACAATTATCTCGCTATTTTATTTATTTACTCAGGCTGTCTATTTGTACAATTGTTTTGTAGAGTCTAAAATATAAACATTGTTTCAAAATCTTGTGAATAATTATTTTGTAATTTGAATATTATGGCGCAAACAATATTTGCCTTAATTGCATGTAATTAAATTTTAATAAAAAAACTTAAAGTGCCTTGGTACTTATTTTGTATAAACAGTGATTAGGTAGTTCAACAGATATGAAAATTGTATCATCAATCCATGTTTATTATTATTTATTTAGGTAAGTATCTACCAAATACCTATTATTTATTGCATTTAAATTTTCATATGCTTATTTTAATATCCATACATATTGGAGATTTTCTACTAGTCATCCATTGAGAAATACAGAGATGTATATGGTTTCAGCATGCTTTAGCAGGCGAAATAAGTGTTACTTAGGTTTTCTTTTGATACACTGTTGCTTTCTGGTCTGTAGTTACCTAAGGTACTAATATTTCAATACAACAACCATGAAATAATTATGCATAGGTTACAAACACACAGAGTACTTTTTTTAAGTCGCTCATTGTTAAGAGAGACTTATCAGTAGGTTAAGCATCCATTTTAAAATTGAAACAAAAATTTGTAATTGGTATGTAAGTAGTTGTTTCATTATTAGTATTTTTTTCGGTAGTACATACGGTAGGCGTATTTTATTTACTTATACCTTTTTTTCTAATAGCTTAGAGTCCCTAAGCACGTAAATTTATTTTTAATTTATAATTTATAAGTCTTTTTAATTTATTTTTGTTCATAAACAAGCACTTAGCTACCTATTGCGTAAGTACCTATCTACCTATTACAAAAAATTTAAACAGACCTAAGTACCTGAAATGTAAGTAAGTACTTAGTATTACTATTACTTACATTTTTTATGATGATTCATACTCTGAAGCACGACACTCGCATGTGATCGAGTTATCTAATTGGCAATATTTTTGTGGAAACTCTGGAAAATCGTGAAAAGTCTGGTGCCATTTGTTTTCAAAATTTTCTTTAGGTATGTAGTGCGTATTATTCAATTTTAGTCACATTACGTAAACATGAAAAAACCAACATAGAACGTGACAAAAATCACTAATAATATGTTTAATTTCCATATTTTTCTATAATTATTTTTAAATTGCCCCTCAGTTTTCATGACTCCTGTCAGATGTCATAATCACAATCTAAAAAATATTCAACATAGGAAGTACCTAATAATGAAAACCGTTCGTAAATGTGTCGCTTCTGCTCCTATTCTTAATTAACAAAAGGGTAAAAATTAACTCCGTGAATTGGTAGGCACACATCATTTTATCTGGGGACCCATCTGAAGTTTGAATCTTTCGAAACACTTTGTAGGTAAATTAGATAAGTGACTTTGTACATAGGTACCTGCTCACATACAGTACTATAGCAAGGTGTATCTAATGCCTCATATTCACAAATATCTATCGCACGAACATTTCAAATAAAATGAAAAGAATAAAACCCAGCGTGTCGTGAAGAGTCCACTCACGTCATCCCTCCATTACAGCATTGTCCGCGTGACAATGGCGATAGAGAATAAAGAATCGCAGCCATTAGGTAAATTTCCTCATACATTTTTTTGCGTGACACCCTCGACGCGTAAAAAGCGGGAAACGTACATTTGTCATGTGGGAGAGGTTAGTAGACGCGGCTCTCGCGAGATCTCAATCTTGGTATGGTGGCGAGAACTTTTTCGAGCACTGTAATGAGCGAGGGATTTTGGAATATACCTATGAATAGGTTCCTATAACACAATAGGAGTTCAACATTGTTTTAGGCCTCCTATAGCAATGTACTCGTCATTTATAAACTTAGCATAACATAATAGAAATAGGTAGGTAGGTACAATAACAAATCCTTAAGACGTGTGTTGTAGGTGGAACATAAGTTAACGAATTTTAGCATTTTGGTATCTTTTAATAATTTTAATATATCAGCCTGCTTAAGAGTTAAGCCCCTTGCGTGTTATAACGACTGCAACTACTACACGTGAAAATTATTGGAACCCTACGTTCCACAGCCGACTGACTAGGTACCTACGACCGTCGTCGTAGCAATCAGAAATATATTATTGGAAAATAATTTCAATTTGGTGTGCGAGTGGTGGACAGACGAATGCATTATTCAGCTCACGTTCATTGCAGGCGAGTGTGCCACGCAGATAAGCAAGTATTGAGCCGAAAATACCGAAAGTCCGAACGATTCCGTCGTGTCGCCGGGGGGCCTTATCGGAAACGGCTTACGGTGACCCCATGCAAACTCCCTAATGCGACATCGCTCACCGATCCCTCCGCACAGTGCCCTCCGGCGATCGATCTTGATGCAAAATTGCCGATAGGGGATGCTAGTTTTGTTTCTTGAACGTAATTTTTATTGCGTTATCTCAAACTATTCGATGTTGTTACTTGGATAACAGTCAAATCTTTGAATAAGATTTAAAACTTGCAGCAATCTGTTGCTATTTGTAATCCTACAAATTCACTTTCAGAACTGCTACTGAAAATTTATAAAATTTTGTAAGCAACCAGATGATCTTCATCTGATTCTGAGACCTCTCGATCAGCAATCAAAATTAAGAACTACTTATTACAATTACCTAGATTTACTATAGAGTAATATCATGATACCACAATATAAATTCTAGCGAAAATATTTTAAAAAGTTTTTTTAAAGGGCTCGGTTAACTCAAGTTTTGCATGGTCTTTAAAAGTTCTTAGAACAGTTTTCGAGAAGATTATTACAAAACCTAAAGACCTACTTACCTATGTACCTGTAGGTTCGGTATGCAAATACATATTGATCTAATAGTATAATAAGATAAAGGAAAAAAAGTTCAATTTAGATGTAAAAGTTCGGAATAATGTGCAAATGGGTTTTATTTCCTGAGTTATTTACACTCCCCCAGCACTAGCCACATCCGACGCTTCTCGCATATTTATTCATAGGCCTGTGCGTATTTTTTACTTGGTCATAAATATTTAAGACGGTTCGTGCCACTAGGATTTTCAATTCGACGTCGATGTCGGATCCCCTTAGATTTTAGGCTTTCTCTCTTTCCGCGGATTAGAGCGGTTTGATATATGGCCGCGGGTAGCGGTAAATCAAATTTTGATTGCTATTTTCTTTGTAGAAAGTCGGAATCCTTCGCTTGGGACGAGCGTCGTGTAACGTGGGTTAACCGATCCCCAGGCGCTCCCCGCCCGTCTTATGTGGATTGTATTATGTACAAGGCAAAGGTATATTTTCTTGTTTCAGTAACACACAAGTGGAGTAATTTTTAGTTTTTAGTACCTATCTATGTGTACTCACTCATACTCATCTCAATTATAATCTTTATGAATTGTCTTTAAAATTGCTCAAGTAAGCATTCACAAGTTTTACTTCTAAGTAAAAATATGAATATAATGTAAATTATGAGTTCAGCATACCTACTCATGTACCATTCAAGCTATAAAATTTTGCTTATTTTTGTATGAGATCATAATAGGTGAATTGAAATTATTTTGTTACCTACTAAACTTCGGTTGTGAACACCAATGCAAACAAATTGTTTTTATAGCTATTCAAATTAAATTTGCCTTGGATAAATTGATTTTAGCAAAGTAACTTTTGAAGTTTGGGGAGACCGACTGTAAGTAGTAACCGAGTGTGTGATCCAATTGCGGATCACTCTAGAGGCGATCCAAACGGATGAAATCAAATTCAGCCGCCCTTTAAATATTTGAACGAATGCTAGAGGCCAGAGCGGGCGCAGGCTCGTTGCTAGGGATGGGTCGACCACAGGGGTGAACAAAATGATCTTCAATTTCAATATTTATTACTGCCCCTTATTTTTTAAAAAAACATAACATAACATTACGCCTTTTATCCCCGAAGGGGTAGGCAGAGGAGCACATTATGCCACTGTACAATGTAACACCCACTTTTCACTACTTATGTTATGAGTCCCATGTAATAGGGGGTGAGCCTATTGCCATATTTAAAAAAATGTTGACCATTTCATGTTTTTCATAAATAATGCATACATTACATTATGTAAGTTACTTAAAGTATATCCTCTACAGTCAGGATGAACGAATGACCGTCGCGGGTCGGTTGCGTAGGGTGAGTGCCCACCTTCGAATAAAAAAGGATCTCGAAAAATTCTCGACCCTTTTTATACTAAATAGATAGCTAACACGGCCTGAGTGGAGTTTCAATAGATGCTTTCTCGACGGAAGAAGCGACCTGTAAGGAATCGAGGGGCCCAGTGAAAAACCGTGTTATATATCCACCGTCTTGTGTAGTGCGTGTCACACAGTTTTTCCTTTTATTTTTTACGCGTGCCCTCCTCAGAGGGATAAGAGGAATTCTTTTTAAATTGGAAATGTTTTCTAAGAGGATTACGATTTGCGGAGGTGTGTGGCGATGTTGGGCGTTGGGAATAAGGGATCGTATTACTCTGTTTTGTGTTTAATATTCTTAAATTTTTCTTTATTATGTGTTCGTATCAAGTGGGATTTGTGTTGTGATTGAAAGGGATTTCGTTTTATTCCACATTTTACGACTATTCTTACCGGATTTTCGTTTAAGTGTCTAGAGGTAGGCGTTATTCCATTAGGTAGGTATAATCACCCGCTAATATTTATTCAAAGCAAATAACTCCCACTTATGTTACAATGGTCATTGGTCACGCCCTGTCCTGGACGTAACTTCTTT